CTCGCCTACATCGTCCATATAGGACGACTCGGGAACTCAACTCCTACCCCGGGCAGCTCACCGATCCCCTTATGCCCAGGGGAAAGGTATCAAGCCGTTTGACAGCAGATGCTGGCTGTCAAACCGGCTTTTACGCAAAACAGGCGGGAGGCAGCAAACAGCTGCGACCAGCGAAATCGCCTGCCACCGGAAGTCTCTACTCGGCACACCTTCTTGAATTAGCTAGAATACCTTAGCCACACAATGATTCCAAAATTTGGAATGGATTTATCCCTGGCTAGATTTAATGTCCTCCCAACAGCTGTTACTGAAAAGATATACTGAAAGATCCTTTCTGAAAAGAGATTGAGTCCATGTGGTAGAGGAGTAACTGAAATGATGGAACATGCTATTTTGTATTGTTACCATTTTGCAGATATTTGTCAGGAATCGCCACTCTTTACTAAATATCCTAACCATTCTGACTTGTTTTATCTTGTTATTATCAAATCAATCCAATTTTATTGACCACAGCTAAGTGGTCAGTCCCAAATATCTGGAGGTTTAAAGATATCCTCATCTAGAATAAAATAATGTTTTCATCAAAGGAGCTAAAAAAAAGACAGTTACGAAGTTCTCAGATAGATAGTAAGATAGTATGATTAGGAGCAAACTTTCCCCACTGAAGTTTCCCATAGACTGCACCTACTACCCATTCCACAGAAGATTAGAGCATGGTATTGTTACCATTTTGCAGGTATTTGTCAGGAATCGCCACTCTTTACTAAATATCCTAACCATTCTGACTTGTTTTATCTTGTTATTATCAAATCAATCCAATTTTATTGACCACAGCTAAGTGGTCAGTCCCAAATATCTGGAGAACAGGTTGGAAGAGGTCTTGCCAGATTATCATTTTCTTTTTTCCTCCAGAGTCCAACTAATCTACAATTAAGTACCGTATTTTCCGGCATATAAGATGACTGGGCGTATAAGACGACCCCCAACTTTTCCAGTTAAAATATAGAGTTTGAGCAAGAGAGGGGGGGGGGAGAGAAAACTTGATGAGTAATATGCCAAACCACATGTGTAAAGGAATAAAATAGAATACCCGTATTTTCCGGCGTATAAGACGACTGAGCGTATAAGACGACCCCCGACTTTTGAGAAGATTTTCAGGGTTTAGAAAGTCGTCTTATACGCCAGAAAATACGGTAATAAAATAACCTTTGCTGAATCTCTGTCAGGAAAAAAAAATTCTTTTGAGCTTGGATGTATTGGATATACTTTTAACAAAAAAAATTAACTTTGAACAAAGAATAGTTTTCATAATAAGAAACAGTTTATTCAAATAAGTAATTTCTTGATCTAGTATATATTATAAAGTCTAAGATACATTTAAATAATTCTCCTTGATACCAGTGAATACCTTCCTTTGAGCATTAATGAAAATACATAAAAAAGCTAGATTGTAGTATAACAATTTACTGGAAATAAAAGATGGTTTTAAAAATATTATTAGAATAACATTTTCTGTCATACTTTATGAAGCAAAAGAAAAAAAGATACGTGGAATTGCTTACGTAATTGTTCTTTCTGTTCTTTACTTAGCTCTTCCCTTTTGATTCGGGCTGCAAGCTCATCAGTAAACGATGTGGGTCTTTTCTTTTGAGTTCCAAACAGGGAAGTAGAAATGGGTTGGAGGGAGATGAGACACGTTGTTATTTTTTTTAAAAGTTTCTTCATAAAGGCAGACATATTATAGGTTAGGAAATGTTAGAGGGGAAAACACAACTTTCAAACTAATAGGAGCACATGGAAGGAACTGCGAGATGGGTCCAGGATGCAGTATTCCAAGTATGGTCTTACCAAAGTTTTATAAAGCGGTACTAACACTTCACGTGATCTTGAGACTATCCCTCTGTTAATACAGCCTAGGATTGCATTGGCTTTTTTTGGTGGCTGAAGCACACTGCTGGCTCATATTTAAGTGGTTGTCTACTAGGACTCCTAGATCCCTCTCACAATCACTTAGCCAGGTTCCACCTATTCTATACGTGTACATTTGGTTTTTTTTTGCCTAACTCTAAAACCTTACATTTTTCAAAATTGAATTTCATTTTGTTAGATAGGGCCCAGTCTTTCGAGATCTTTCTGGATCCTGAGCCTATCTTCTGGGGTGTTGGCTATTCCTGCCAGCTTGTCGTCTACAAATTTGATGAGTTTCCCCTCTATTCCCTCATCTAAATCATTTATGAAGATATTGAAAAACATTGGGCCTAAGACAGAACCTTGGGGTACATCACTGCTTACTTCCCTCCATGTTCCATTAAGGACTATATGTTGAGTGTGGTTTGTCAGCCAGTTACAAATCCATCTGGTGGTGATGCTGTCTATCCCACATTTTTCTACCTTACTAAGAAGAAGGTTGTGGTCTACTTTGTCAAATGCTTTACTGAACTCCAAATATACTATGTCCACAGCATTTCTCTGGTCCACTAATTTTGTCAAAGAATAACATTTGTTTGGCATGATCTTTGTTTTTGACAGTTGGCTTTTAGTTATAACTTTGCTTGCTTCTACATAGATGTTCGCAGATCTGTTGCTTGATTATCTTTTCCAGGATCTTCTCAAGTACTGATGTTAGGCTGATTGGTCTGTAGTTTCCTCCATCCATTTCCCCTTTTTTGAAGATGAGAACCACATCAATTCTTTTCCAGTCTTCTGGTAATTCCATGGTGCTCCAGGATCTTTGAAAGATATAGTTCAATGGTTCAGAGATCACATCTGCCAGCTCCTTCAAACCTCTGGGATATAATCTTTCTGGTCCTGGTGATTTGAACTTGTCTAGGGTGGACAGGTGTTCTTTTAACATTCTCTTGCCTATTTTAATTTGTAATCCTAGTCTGTTTTTATGGTTGTTTTTGGTAGGCTGGGCTATTTTTTCCTTTTGATGCAAAGATGCAAAGAATGAATTAAGCAGCTCTGCTTTCTCCTACTGCCTGTCACTTCCTTGTCATCTTCTCTCCTTAGTGGACCGATTGTTTCCTTGACTTTTTTCTTGCTTTTTGCATGCTGGAAGATATTTTTTTAATTATTTTTGACATTTGTTTCAAGTCTTAATTGATTCTGAACCGTTCCTAACTTCATATTTGCAGATTCGGGCTATATGCTGGTATTCTGCTTTATGTGTCTCTCTTTCCATTTTTTATACTTATCCTCTTTGTTTTTCAATTTATCAGAGAGTTCTTTATGCATGCTAGTTTCTTCTTGGATTTCTTGTTTTTCTTTTCCAGTGGCACTATGGTGGAATGGGCTTTTATAATCACATTTTTCAGAGTTTCCCAAGCTTCTTGAGTTGTTTTCTCCTTTAAGATTTTCATCCATGGAATCCTTCCCAAGCTCTCTCTAAGTTTGTTGAAATCAGCTGTTTTAAACTCTAAGACACTAGTTTGATTTTGTTTTATTGCTTGTTTCTGCATTATATTGAATTCCAATATGATATGATCACTCTCCCCCAAAGTTCCTGCAATTTCAACCTCCTCTATCATTTCATCTTTGTTAATAAGAATTAAGTCCAGTATAACTGACCTTCTAGTTCCCTTCCTAAAGAGAGACACTATTTAGGGTCATTCATGTACTAATCATCTCGTTTGCATTGTGTGGTTCTACCCTTGAAAATGTGGAAGTTCAGCTGGTCTAGAATATAGTAGATACATGCGGTATCGAGAGTATCCAGTACATGTAACATTGTTTTGTTAACGTACTGGCTTCTAGTAAACCTCTGGGTACAATTCAATTTCTGGTTGTCATCTTTAAAATGTTATATGGCATTGGCCCGAGTTGCTTGCAATACCCAGCAGTTTCTGTTTGTCTGAAGAGATCCAGCAGTTCTTCAGGTTCAGTGAAGTCATCCTACCTGATGTCCTAGGTAGAGCACCTTCTTTTGTCATTGTACCTGCATTATGGATAGCCTCCTTTGAAATTCAGGTAGCCCCAATCTTGCTGGCCTTCTGGAAGGCCATGAAGACTTGGCTTTTCCCAAGCACTGAGATGTTAATGGACCCTAGCATATTGGTAAGGCATTTTCACAGAGGACCAGACTTTGTTCTTTTAAGTGATTTGTGTATTATGTTTTATGTTTTTTCTGTTCTGCCCAGGACAGTTTTGATACCAACGGCACAAGTATGGAAAACTGAAATGAACTAGCTCTTTGCGTATCCCTGTACTCATGCTGACCCTCAAATAAGCAATGTATTTTTTGCATTATGCTTTGCTAAGAAGATTATACAACATAATGGTCATAGGAGAAAGAAAGAAAGAAAGAAAGGAAGAAAGGAAGGAAGGAAGGAAGGAAGGAAGGAAGGAAGGAAGGAAGGAAAGAAAGAAAGAAAGAAAGAAAGAAAGAAAGAAAGAAAGAAAGAAAGAAAGAAAGAAAGAAAGAAAGAACAGCAGGTGTAGAATTGGCAAAAGGAGGAAATCCTAAAATACCTGGGATATTACCAAAGTTAGTACAATATAATACTACTGGAACAAGTATTTTATAAACAACCATTTCACTCATCACATATTTTTCAGTGCTATAATCCATGCTTTAAGTATTTTACTGATATGCTTTATTAACACTTTCTCATAAAACTAGTGATGATGCTGTTGAGTAGCAATTTCTTACCAATGATGTATTTTCTTCTAGGTCACCCTCTTCCTCTTTTTCATAGTCACCAAAAAGATCTTCATCTTCATCACTCATTAGTACTGTTCTCTGGAAAAAAAATAATAATGTATGTTTCCCTGCAACTGAGAAAAATATTTCCTACAGTGAAATAGATCTAGCCAGCTTTTGACAATGTCTTCCTTTGGTTGCAAAAGAATATCCAGAACATATTGCTTTGCCTTCTTATTGAATGCTTCTGCTTATTATCCTGAAAGTCTCTTCAAAACACCATCGGCAATAATGCTTAGAATAAAATTCTTATTTCATCACTAAGCTACATGGATTCTATTTTCTATCTCTAGTCAAAATGCAAATGATAATATCAAAGTCAGGAAGTTGCAAAGAACAGATAAAAAATGGATAAAACTGCTGGAAGGTTGCACAGAGGCAGAAAAATAACGGCAAAAAGTATTGAGATAACAAGCATTCCATCTTGAAAAATGATGCTAAAAGAGGAGGACGTGTATTTCCAAACTTCAAATTAGATTATCAAACAAACTGCCTATCCTAACAGAAAGGATATAATTTCCAAATGGCAGACCATCAATTATAGAAGGAGCTGGTGTGGCTATTGGACCTCATAGGTACTTATGGTACAAAGGAAAATAAGCAAGCAAAGAAAATCTTTCTGTAGTGTTCAGTACCGGAAGGAAAAGCCCACAAGCTAAAGCAAAAATGTACAGCAAAGCTGGATCCTAAAGGGATTTGGGTAGGCAGCAAAGAGCTTGGAAACCTTTGGAAAGCTCTTTTCTGCCTATATGACTCCTTTTAAGACCCAGCTTCTGCCATGGTTGTTTGCTGCACGTTTGTGCCTTGGCTACTTATACTTTTGAGCTTTTTCTTCAGATCCTCGAGGCAAAAAGCTACAGAAAGATTTGCTTTGCTTGCTTGCTTCCTTTTCTCTCACTCTTCAGTCTGGAGTCAAAGCAAGTCACTTACAAATTTTGTCACCCTCTTTCTAGGTATGCAGTAACTTAGCAAATGAGGCTTTTAAAAGAGATTGGAGGGCAGAGGCGGAGAGTTTAGTTTTAGCACCAAATGGGAGCTGGTGGGTGAGAAAGATCAACAAGTCTATCCCTCCCAGCTTTTTTTGTTAACTGAAGAAATGTGACTTTCTGGGGGAAGAAGGAGGAGGTTATAGCAAGGGCAAAGTTTTGAGTAGCTTGTCCTGAAGCTGCCGCCTCCTCAAAGCCTAACAAGAGCCCATTGTAATCCCCCAATGGCCAGCTGATCAGGGCAGAAAGTTCTGAAAGTAGCTGCCATTTCTGCAAGCAATTGTCAGAGGGCTGAAAATGGCTGCTACTTCCAGGAGGCATAGGGAGTAGGCCTCGCCAGGGCAGAATGGGAGGGGAGGGGTGTGTGTTGCGGCCACTGTAACTTTGAAACAGGGTTGTAATTTGGGGGCATCTGTCGTAACTTTGAAGTGACCTGTCATACCTTGAAGACAACCTGTAATAACTTTTCACCTCCTTATAAAGTTACAAATAAAAAAACTCTTGTCTCCACAGCACAACTTTTATCTATATACAATCCAGAAATTCTCAGCTTTTTAATCCTGGTTCAACTAAATGTCCATTGGACATTCAGCCAAATTTAAGAAGCACATTACACAGCAAAGCAGACTTAGACATTTTGAATATGGCTTCAGAGAAAGAATGGAGAGACAACAGTAACTGATTAAAAACAACTGTTGAAATGACCTCAGCAGACCATAATTTTCAATCTGGCTGCCTAGAAATAAAACAGTCTGGAGACAGATTGAGGTGGGGAAAAAGAAATGCACCTTACACTTATCTCCTCTATCCAGTATGGGGTACAGGACCACTTAAGATAGATTCTTACACTTAAATAAGGGAGGAAACATTATTTTTGTCACCAGCATCTTATCAATATATTTTCTCATGCTACATATTTTCTCAACCTAATGGTAATTTGAAGAGATCCGAAACCTGACAAAATGCATTTCTTACCTGTTTCTGATCTTCATCACTTATAGTCCCAAATTCTTCTAGTTCCTGGAAAAAAAAAACCACACACATACACACATTTAAGAAAAGTGGCACTCAACTTGACGGCATGCTGTCAACACTGTCTTGGACTTCTATGCAACAGCTCTTTAGATGGCAATTCTTCTGAAACACTATCTGAATTGTTTTCATATATGCTAGGGATAAGAAGTACTTAATTTATATTTAATTTCATTAAAAATATTCTCACCAATAGAGTAAACTGATAAATATCTAAACTTCCCAGAACCCTAGAAGCTTATATTTAGAAGCTGTTCTAAAATTCATTCCAGAGATCATAAATCTACTCACCTCTTCTTCTTTTCCTTCACTGTCTATTAGGCTTCCATGGTCACCATCCACTGAACCTTTTGTTCCAGAGATGAAGGGAAAAGACAAGATTTGTGCGTTGTTTCTTTAACTGGTGATACAGATAGTCCTCAACTTTATAGCCACAACTGAAACCAACATTTTTGTTGCTCAGCGAGACAGTTGAGTTTTGCCCCATTTTACAATCTCTCTTGCCGTAATTGTTAAGTGAATCACTGTCAGTTGTTATGCTAGTAACACGGTTCTTAAGTGAATCTGGCTTCTCCATCGGCTTGTTGGTCAGAAGGTCACAAAACGTGGCTGCAAGGCCCCGGGACACTGCAACTGTCATAAATACATGCCAGTTGCAAAGCGTCCAACTTTTGATCATGTGACTATAGGGATGTTACAACGGTCATGAAGTGTGAAAAACAGTCGTAACTCACTTTTTTTCAACGTCACTGTAACTTCGAACAGTTACTAAATGAATGGTTGCAAGTCAGAGACTACCTATACCCCAAATGCCTTTCTCTATTTGAGGAATTTATTTATTTATTTTTATTTACTTGTGTCTTGCCTTTATTATCAGATAAGTTTACTTTTATTTCTGGAAATTATAACTCCCCAACATTCTATATCAGGGGTCTTCCAACTTGGCCCTTTTATGACTTGCGGACTTCAACTCCCAGAATTCCTCAGCCAGGCACGCTGGACTTATTACTAATTATTACTAATTCTTTCACCTACCTTCAGTGGAAGGATCACCAAGCCCAACATCATCTTGTTCCATAAACAGCTGGGAGCCAATTAAGTATGGCAAAGGTCGATCAACATAAAGGTCCTGTAAAACAAATTAAATTTAAAACACTTTTTAAAGATTAAACTTCAAACTATAACAATCTGCACAACTGTATTCTTTGATGGCTAATCACGGGACAATAAAATTGGAGAAAAATAGTTTGAAACATAACCCCCCCCATCTAACTTTATAAATAGTTCATTTAATAGTGTTAGGAATCGGACGGAAGGGAGCCTATGGGTTGTTCTTTTGGGGGAACTGTACAGACTACAAACAAAAAGGGATGCTATGTCTGCTACAAGGGAGGAGTTTAACACTGCCAAAAAATATCCCAAATTGTGATCATGTGACTGTGGAGGCAGGACAATAGTTTGAATTTAGGTCACAACAGTTTTTGGGAGGCCATTGTTAAGTAAATGGTAATAAGTTGAGGACTACCTATAGTTTAGCTCTTACAAGCAAAGAAAATATGATTTTCCGAACAACCCTGAGAGGTAGTTTTCATTAATTTATAAAAATGGGAGGGAGTAGTCTACAAATACAATTATTGGAAAACAAACAAAGGAAAGCGGACCAAGGACATACTAACAAAGTACCATATGAGCATACAGTTTTATTAATGATTATGCCTGCCTGAGTAATACATTAACAAATTGATCTGCACTGTTTGAATAAGGTAACTTGATTTAAATATATGACAGATTTAGAGTCCCTCTCTGAGGGCGATGGATGGTTCAAAAATGTGAATACATAAATGAAATTAAATTGTCGCAGAATGAAGATGGAGTGCAATCCCATTCTTTTTTTTTAAATAAGATCCAAGAGTATATAAACATTACTGACCAACTGATACAAGCCAGTTTAAGCAGGAGTCTCCTCATTTTGCTTCAATGTATCAAGAGATCATGATTAGCCCGAGGTCATTAAATAGCTTTTACTACTGAGTAAGTCAAGCCAGTGAAACTGAAGTGACCAGAAATACCAAGTTCCATTACCTTAGGCTCCAGTATTAGTTCCAGCCTTTCATTGGTTTCTTCTTCAGAGTCTGAGTTCCCTGCTTTGATGTCCAGTTGTTCAAAGGCACTGTCTAATACCTGCAGCCCAAAATTGATGGCTTCCTGAATCTTGGGAATCAAATCAGCTTCTTTCTGTTCACGGGTTTTCTCCTACAAAATCAAAATATACAGATCCCATATTTTTCACATACAGTGGAAGAAGTTATAGTTTTTGGTCATCACTATGAAATTACTTGCAATAAAACTTATTTACAAAATATGGAGGTGAGGTGATTAACTTCACAAAACTCAATAAATCTTAACATAAATGTAACAAATTAAGACACAGAATCAAATTCCTAACTAACTTGTTAGAAAAGATAGGAAAATGAGGGTAGAATATAGTCCTTGATTTACAACCATTCATTTAGTGACTATTCAAAGTTACAAGGGCACCAAATTAAGTGACAGTTATGACTGTTATTCACATGACCATTGCAGCATCCCCATGGTCACATGATCAAAATTCAATCGCTGGCAACCGGCATGTATTTATGACAATTGCAATGTCCCAATCTTCAGTCTACCACCTAAAGTTTACTATTCCCCAAAGGAAAATAGTTTAGTCCCCTAACACTTAACTAGCTACCCCGTTAAATTCAGAAGCTGGAAATAAAAGTAAGTTTTGTAGCCTCTCTGCTAAAAAGAATTATCCAGTTAACTAGTATTTAATTAATGCTACCTCTACAAAGATGTGAAAAGATTGAGCCCATAGGCAAATCTCTCCCCCCTCCTAGAAGTTCTCTGAATTTTCATATCTTGATATGGTAACTCTTGTACCATCACATACTTTCCAGGGAGCACCTCACCAGTCTTCTACTTCCTATTCCCAGGAAAGGAATAGGAAGAGATAGGACTCACACAACCCATCCTATTTTTCTGATTATTAAAAAATCAAAATACAAAACAAGAAAATGCTACATGACATGAGACATGAGATTGGCAGATGTGGATATTTGATATTATTTGTTAAATTTATTTGCCGCCCATCTCACTATGGGGCTACTCTAGGCAACTTGCAACAATAAAAAGGAAGAAATGAAAAGAGTGTGAAGAGAAGTTAAGATACAGAACAATAAAATAAACAATGAAAGAGAACACAAGAAATATAACTATATGATTATCAAAAAAGAAAGATGGACAGGTCTAAAGAACGGGGGGGGGGGGGGCATTTGCCATCAACCCAGCAGCCACCTCCAGCGTGGAACTCCCCAATTTAGACCTAGGCCAACTGGTTTTTATATTATATTTTTATATTTATTTTATAAAATATAATTTATATATATTTTTTTTTCAATATAAAATTTTATTGTTTTTATCATAAACGAAAAAATACATCACAAGTATTACACAATGATTTATCCCATCCCCCTACCCCCCAGACTTCCCAAACCAAACCTAGGCTAACATTCAACTACAAGTAAACAGATATTAATATCTCTAACTCCAAACTCTAAACTTAAGCAATCCATCTCCTCCGTA